ACAGAGTGCACTGCACAAATGAAATGCTGATCTTGACAGTAATTCGACTTGCGTCATATACGAAACAATGTATCGGCTATGTTGTACCATTGAGAACCTTCTAGAAGAAACTTACTGTGGCAGGGCCACGCTAAAGTCCTCTCTGTTACACGAATGGGCAGGTCCGTCCGGGTAGGTACCACGACCTTGCAGAAGGTAGTGAAGTAGAATACTTCTGCGTTCGTTTTTTTTTTGGCTGGATGAGCCACTGTTGGCCTTAGGGGCGTTCACAGATCCGACGGGCTTGAGGTGGTCTGGCGAACGGGGCGGCTAGCCTGAACCTCGGCGTATGATTATTACGCCTTATGGTGACTAAGCTCGAGGGCTCCCGGGGGAGCCTCGGCTCGGGCCGTCACGCTATTATTGTTACCGGTTTGGGAGTTCGCCAAGCTTGGGCGCCTTGGCTGGCGCTCCATGGAGTGATCAGGCCCAAGGGTCCCCGAGAGTGGCCCTCGTCTTGGGCTGTCACTCAACACGCGTTTAGCATTCCGATTCGAGGGTGCCCGAGAGGGCCGGACCTCGGCTCGATCGGTAGTTATTATCTGACTGGGGACTGCGTTCGTCTGGTGAGCGAGGTAGCCAGAGCCCACTTTATTAAAGGGTGGCAACGCGTCTGCAACCCACCGGGTGTTGCAAATGTCCATAACACGATGTTATCACTTAAGATCAGGTGTACCACCAGCTCGTTTGCCACCATCTTACATACAAAAAGCTGGTAATTTACCTCGATATCTCTACACCACCCTAAGGTTCACTGGTATGAAAATGAAAAGAAAACTTTGGCATTAAGCCCGCCTTTGTAGTAGATTGTACATATAAGATTAAAATAAATAAATAAATAATTCGACTTATGGCAAATTACAATTAGTGAACTAGTATCTGAATAGATTCAAAAGCCGTTCATTTCACTCATCATTATATGCACCGCCTGCAACCGCAAATAAAAACTGGTTGACAAACGACAGAAGACGTTGAGGGATCACATATCGCTTATTGCGTCATGGCATTAGAACAAACCATACTATCATCGAAATAATAAATAGATTACGGGACGCACACATCGAATATTATTACAGAGTAACTTTATGAACCAATACGACTAATCTCATTCAAAAAGCGTCCTCACGGCACGCTAATAGAGTTAGCAAATCGCTAGCACTTCGCTCTACGGAACATTGTAGGCCCGACGAATTGTTCCCATTCGTGTAATAGGTCGTAATGCGAAATCGCCTCGCACCCTTCAAGCGACAATAGACTCTGGCCAACAGAGTATACGTTATAAAATCGCCTACCATCACAGGCACTTGTCGAGAACAATGTTGCGCGAGCGGGAAGGCAACAGTGCGAGAGGGATAGCGGCACGTAACCCGATACCGCCACATCTGCGTTCTAAAAGTGTGGAGGGCGGCTGCATCGCTGTACTGGACATTTGGATCGTGTATGAATGTGCCATTTGAACTGCGCAGAGTTATAACCCCGACCGCTGGGAACGGGGTGTGGGCAAAGGACGCTTAAGCAGAGTACAGTGGACGCGAGCACTGATCGACTTTTGAAGTTATACTTCTTGAGGGCTTTTGGAAAAAATTATGAGAGTAAATTTTTTTCGATGTGCGTGCACATTCACAGTCTAAATGCGACATGATGAAGTTGGTTAGACCAACTTTTAAACGGCGGACCAACGGTTAGACAACAAGTATTGGCACAGTTGGATGAAATTTTTGCCATAGCTTTTATTAAATAACCTAATAGGAACTAAAGATTGAACATTAAAACATGTAGAAAAAGTACGAAAAGATTGTCGCCGCTGTGGGAATCGAACCCACGTCTTCGGCATTCGCGGCCTGAAGCTCTAGCCGCTGAGCCTAAACGGCTGATAGCCACAGCGACGAAGGATATAACAATAGATGCGCAAAGCATTGTTTCGATTCGACGTCCCACGACGTCCCACATCGGCGACAATCTTTTCGTACTTTTTCTACATGTTTTAATGTTCAATCTTAAGTGCAGAGATGAGCACTATAAAAAACTTTAAAATTTAGGAACTAAAGACCTCAGTATCTGGTATAAATTTCAACTTACCGGTTAGTAAGGACAGACAGACGGACAAGAGTGATCTTATAAGTATGGAACCCTCCGGGAGTAATCCAGCGTCTTTGACCAGCACAATTGTCGAGGATATAAGTGCCTGTTTAGATGAACGGGCATAAAATATCCCAACAAAGCGACAGACTCAGCCAACAGTTGCGGTGATGCAAAGCGAGACAAAAACCTTATCCTCACTCGATAACGCCTCAGTGGATTTTCGTCTTTTGTTCTGCGATTCGGGGTTTTATCTCGGACGAGATTACACGTGCCCATCGTAGCGGAATCGGGATTTCGGACGACGCGGCGAACTTTAAGAAGCAAGTAAATTTTTTTACTAGCGAAAAACAAACCGGCTTCAAATATCTCGCTCTGTATTAATTTCATAATAGATTTTCAGGAGTTCCCAACGTGTCGGAGCCCAAGGTCTAGTACCAATGAAATTAATATATACCACATGGGAAGTACAAGCTTTCAAACAAAAAAAACGAATGATCAAAATCGGTTTACTCAGTTGAGGTAACAAACATAAAAAAGTAAAAAAAAAATACCGTCTAATTGAGAACTGTCCCCGTTTTTTAAGTCGGTTAAAAACTGGATCGTCTTGTCTGGGTTGGGAATGATCGCACCTTATATTAGTTGAGCCGTGATAGCTCAGTGTCAGGGGTCTAGGATTTTAATTCAATACACTCGAGCAAAAGTAACAGCCTATACATGTCCCACTGCTGGGCAAAGGCCTCCTCTATAGAGAGGGTATCAGGGCATAGTCCACCACGCGGCCCTCACATATCTTCGAAATACATTTTTTTTTGTTATTATTTCGAAAATATGCAGGTTTCCTCACGATGTTTTCCTTCACCGCGGAGCACGTGATAAGTCAGCACTTAAAGTTAAAAACTTCATTGGTGCCAGCACCGGGGATCGAACTCAGGTTGCTCGAGTATATTGAATTAAAGGCGAGCGCCCGGACACTGAGCTATCACGGCTCTCAGCAACCCGACTTCAAATCCAGCCAATGTAATTGTTATTTTCGACCGACTTAAAACGGAGGAGGTACTCAATTCGACTGTATTTTTATGTTTGTCACCTCTGAACTTTCGACTGGGCCAACCGCTTTTGATGATTCGTTTTCTATTTGAAAGCTGGCGCTTCCCATGTGGTCCCACATTAATTTCATTGGTATTGGAATTTGAGCTCCGGATACTTAGGGAGCTATTAGGGCGCTTGGCAACCGCGTCACGGAGTCATCAATGTTCAATGCGTACTTGCGCACTTGCGTATATTAGATCTCTCTCCGTCTCCTCGCCGAAAAACGCCGCCAAACGCGATCTCCGAAAAATCGAAAACTCCGTCGCGTCGGACGATGGTTCGATTTGGCGCGGTCAATTAATATCGTGTAACTATACACCCGATAGATAGACGATATCGTATGACCCGTCGTCTCGCATCAGACGGGGCCCTTTGACGAAGGTGCGACCCCCCCCCCCCCCCCCAATCTACCGCCGGTAACCCGACACCCAAGATGGCGGCGGTTTTTTAACGACGCTAGACTTAGAGTGGCAAAGGTTTTTCTTTAGAGGCTAGGTTTCCGCTACGTTTGGTCGTCGTTAGATAGAGACGTTCCTGTTGCTGTAAGCGGTAAGTAAGCCTATGTATGTCCCATTGCTGGGCAAAGGCCTGCATAAAGTGGGTATTAGGGCGTGGTCCATCTGATCGCACCGTGGATAATATAAAAAAAATATATCATCATTTAGAAAATATGCAGGCCTCCTCACAATGTTTTCCTTCACCGCGGAGGAAGTTATCAGCACTTGAAATTAACAATTTCATTGGTAAAATTATGCTTCGAGTATATTGAATTGAAGGCGAGCGCCCGGACGCTGAGCTATCACGGCTTGCTGTCAAAGGAGCGATCTGGGAGGAGACTTTATAACACGGTGCGTACTAAAAGAAACACCGTCCAGCGCACGCGTCTTTTATTGGTGTAGGTGGGAAACGAGCAGGTGGTTCACCTGACGTTAATTAAGGCGCCAAGTGACATCTAAACGTCCTCTGGGCAGCAGGTTCGCCTCTATCCTGTACAAAGTACGGCAATCGTCACAGTAATAACAGTTTCAATTCACGCGAGTCTGCCATTTTATGCAATACATATTAAGCAGCATAGTTTGACACGCACGGCTGATATAATCACATATAACTTGTACATATATAATTATATATACAATATAATATTGAACAAAATATCATATGTTGTATATATAGTTTGTACAAAAAACTAGGAAAAAATTTCCGCCGCTGTGGGAATCGAACCCACGACTTCGAGATTCGCCCCCTGACGCTTTATCCACTACTAGCAACCCGCTCCGGCTTCGCGCGTGTGCAATGTATTATTCATATAAACCTTCCTCTTTAACCACTCTGTCTTGTAACAATAACCGCATCAAGATCCGATGCGTAGTTTTAAAGGTCTAAGCATACATAGGGACAGACAGACAGCGAGTCGACTTTGTTTTACATTATGTAGTGATGAAGCTAAACGGCTGATTGCCACAAAGTGCAGAGGTTAGCACTATGAAAAGTTTGAATTTCAAATATAACTTTTTCTTTTGGTATAAGAAGATATGGCTGGCGAGCTGGTGGTTCATCTGATTTTAAGTACAATACAAACACATTGCCACCTTTCAATAAAGGAACCCGGCCACTTCGCTTACCAGACGAAACGCGGAAGTGTAACAGTTCTGCCTTACGCCGGTCTTTGTGCAGTCCTTTACTGACCCGCACGGGCCTGCCCATTAGTGCAACAGCGAACACATACGATAGACATATATATGTTGCGTGGCCATAACGCAGTTAACTCTACTCTGTTCTCTTCTTTTCAGTGGCGGTGCCGGTGACAAGCCCCTGGACTCCTCCACGGACGACGACAGCGACGCCCCCCACCCCTCCGCGATACCCCCCCAGCCCCTATACCCCCTCTACGAGCACCCATTAGCGCATTTGCAGTACCACACATGACCGAAAACCCACCCCCACTTTCCCCCGCACTATAACTAGCCTATCAAACGTAATCCGTCAATACCGGCAGCTACGCCTCGCGGTTACAATCAAAGATCGTGATTCATATTCCCTTCGAATCTATATTCTGTGAATGAATGAATGACTGAATGAATGAAACGCATGAATGAATGAATCGCAGCATCTATGTTCTCCCGAACTAAAACGATATTGCTAAGTAGAATCAATTAGTAAGTAGAATAGCGTGTGTCATTTGTGAGGAGGGGGGGGGGGCTCCTTGATCTAAAGGTTATAGATAGAATGCCAGTAGACTTCCTCAATTGGCTTTCCTAAACAAAAATAATCTTCCAAGTAAACCTGGTAGTTCCTGAGATCTCGTAGGTGTTGGCTAAAGTATGAACGAAATGTTTTTTTTATTTTATTTATTTTTATTAATCAACAAGAGTTATTTTATTATTTATATTACTAATAATAAAATAATAATAAAATATCTTTATTCACATAGACGCTTGCGCGTTCTTATGAAACGTCAAAATTTTACAAGAAATTTACACGTTCGTAAGTTACCACCGGTTCGGAAAGCAGTTTCTGTTGAGAAGAAAAACCGGCAAAAACTCAACAGTTGCTCTTTTTTTAAAAAAAATCAGTTTTTATAATAGTACAGGTACAATAGTCTTGTTTTAGCCTACGTGATATTACTATTTTTACTATTCTTAATAACGTAATTTTTGTCAAGAACAAAATATATTTCATATCCTAATCTTATTTAAGTGCACGCTTTATAGGATTTTTTGTCGATACGTAAAAATAAAACGATTTTTTTGATTATCAGACCGTGTCAGTTGATTATTTTTTTTTTGTCACAAACTGTTTTAAATTAAATTTTGATGTACAAAACTTCACACTTACAAACTTTTTTCAATTAAATTTTGATGAAAATACAATTGGTTCAATAAAAATTGTTCAAGGAAAATTGGTTCAAATAACACGTACCTTTCGAATATAAATACGTAATTGTGACTTGCACAGGTTTAGCCAAATCGAAGCGGAGGAAGTGGGGGTAAAAGTTGATAATTTTAAAAGTGAAATTTTGAGGTTATCAAAATAATGGCCATTATGTTTCACGTTCCACTGCTGGGCGTGGGAATACTAAGAGATATTCTACAGTAGCGAATATATATTTTGTAGATATTTTCCTAATGTTAAAGCTTTCGAATGGCGATGAAGTTTGGATGTACAGACCCAAATAATAAATTAATATGGGACAGTTCAATGATATTATGTCGACTGTCTCATATGCGTTTTATGTATACGTCTAGACTACAAACATAGCATTAAATATTATATTGGTCGGAGATTTTGTATCCTGAGAAATAAGAAATACTATATTCATTTTGTCTATAAGGGAAATATTTATTATATTTCCATTTTAGAATTAATTAAAGGAATAAAATTACAAGAGTTGTGTTCAATTTTTTTTTGGGTCAACACACAAACTGATAAAAATTAAAAAGAAAAATAATTTGTTTAAAAATACTTTTTCTTTATTTTTCACTTTTTGTATCTTGATTTGATGTTTTCTGTTAAAACATCAATTCTTTTTTCATTCGTCTAGACCAAATAAAAAAAATAATTTACGGTACTTTTAACTTGGAGGTTAACAGTAGTGTAACGACATTTGTTATTATTTTTGAAAAAGCTTGTGCATAAGGAACATACAGCCTGTGCAGATTAAAAAGTAACGTGTAGAATAGTTTTTATGAATTGTATAAAGTTCTATTTATGTTTTAAAATAAGTTTGATTGTATCGAAGGCTAATTTTATATTGCAGTACAATTTAGTGGCATGGAATAATTCAATATTCATAATCGTCTGAGCTTCGTGTCATGATAATACTCTACTGTTTATCTGTAGGAACCAATTACTTGTAATAATGTTTATTTTTCAATTTAGTACACTGATGTGCAAAAATCGGGGACAATTTTACACCTCAATCTATATATAGTTTAAGTTTTAAGATTTTTATTTATTAGCAATAAATATGTATATTCTATTTGAAAACCATTATTATTTAGTTTGTATTTTTATGACGAGTTTTGGATTGCCTTCTTCGAATGTGTTCCAAAATCCATAAAGTAAGGTTTTCGTAAATAAATTTCGTAAATATTTTACGATTAAGGTGTAAAACCCATAAAAACCTTTTCAGAAATGCACCTAAATTAATTTAGATAAACCGTTTTCTATATTTCAAACGCTGAATATTTCTGCACGTCAGTGTACTTAGCTTAGTCTTAATGATAGTGGTAACCAAATTGAATTAAATGTATTTATTAACGCGTTTAAGTGATTATCGTGTCGATTTAATGTAAATGTTAAACGGCGTGTGTCCTATGTAAAAAATATGCTTAAGGAAACCAATCCGGCATGTTGTTTTAGGTCTACAGTTTTTTTTTATAAAGAAATGCGTGTTGTTACTCCGAATGTTGTTTTATTTACTTTAGTTTAATCCCTCCGGCATATGTTAGTCGCCGGTTTTGCCAGCGCCGTACGCAATCAAAGATAATTTGTAAAAAACTCCAAAATAATAAACACAAACATTAAATACATATCGCGGAACTGTAGAAATACTTATACACAACCGAATAAATCACAATAATGCGTTTTTCCATTATTTCGATAACCCGCGATAATATAACTTATGTAGAAAGATCAGTCTTTTGCTAATTAAAGTCTTTTTGGGGGTCAAACCGAGTTGTTATGAGCGTAACAGCTTTCAAAATTGAATCACTATCAATCACGGGAAAAAGTTAACTCTGGTGTCGGACATAAAACTGACATCATAAGAATATGTAAATACGGTAATATAATTTAAGATACTCCATAACCCAAACTATTGCTAAGAACAATCACGTCCGCTTTCTAAAAAAAAAAACACAATCGGACAATTCGTTTAGAATATCGAAAATTGTACCAAAAATGATATTTTTTCAATTTAATTAAATCCGGCAGAGGCCGTTGGTGTAAAATATTTAATAGAGCGACGACCTGTGCAATGGACCAGGATCGTGCTGCTTGAGTCTGTGGCGGAGGCCTATTTTCAGCAGTGAACTCGAACAGGCTGAAATGATGATGATACTACTTTTTTTATGTAAAACTTTTAATGCGACTTCCAACAAGGTTGCGTTAAACGTTTAACGCTAACACGGAGGGTGTACGACAGCACTGTTGCGTTAAACGTTTCACGCTCCTGGGGAGGGGGAATAGAAAGAGACAGAGCGAGAGTAAATGCGTGTCACTCGAAGACACCCCGCACTATTTCTTTTTTTTTGAAAAATCATTTCTAAGACTACGTCGAGGCCGATTTTGATATTTTTATAAATATCGAAATATCGATATATTTCTTTTCATCCCTACTCGAGTAGTTATGTAAAAAGTTGCTGTCGACAGCAAGAATTAATCGCACAGGTGAGAATTCAGTTATCCGATGCTGTCTTCATAATTACCCATACGTATGCAGTCAAGAAATATAACATACTGCTTCGAAGGCAAACCCAGGGGTAAATAAAAGGGAAACACGCAATAAAAGCCAGAAACTCCGCCTCGACGTATTTATTGAAGCACTTGTGACTTAATTGATTAATCAATACATAATGTATCAACTTGTTCGTTACAAAATAAATAATACGTAATGTACAATACAACTGACGATTCTGGCTCGACCCACCGAGCGGCTTCGACGCTAAGTACGTCTCTCCATTAATGATTTATTGCTAAGCGAAACTCGGCATTTCTCGCGTAGACAAATGGCGTCAAATTAGGACCGTCTCAAAATTACCCGTACTTACAAATTCAGGTTGTATTCGATAGCACAACTCTGAGGTCTCCAAATTAGACACTTATCAACCTTGGGACTGTATAATTCACATGTGACATTCTTGACTTGTGGTCTTGTGTGTCATAGACTTTCGCCCGGTTTCTGAAACACTGATAATCGAAATCAAAAGGAGTTTAACACACCGAATTGATCAGAATGATCAATTCAAAGAGTTTACAATCCTTTTGGCAATTCAAATAACATTTGAAAAGCCATTTGACAGCCCATTAGTTGACCTCTACGATGATCAGTGTTTCAGAAACCGGGCGTTAGTATCGTTCATACTTCACACGCGACATATTAAAAACGCCAATAACAATATCGTTTCGAAGTAAGCCTAGAATTCGCGACAAATTAATAGAATGGTCTTGGTCTTTTGTGTTAAATGAAGAACTAATTCCATTTACCAGATATTGTTTTAATTCTAAATATATGATATACTCGCACTGTGTAAATTTATAATTGGTCAATGCTTTAATCAATGTATTAATCAAGTGAAATGTCAAAATTTTTTACTTTAAATAAATAAAATGAATAGATGAATAGAATGACTCTGAAAGATGGCTCCCTGGCACCGTTGCTCAACTATCGGCTTCGGCGTCGGGGTCGTGGGTTCGATTCCCACACGGGACAACTATTTGTGCGACCCACAGATAACTGTTTCGGATGTGGCTGTTTGTTCCGAAGGAGGGTTGATCTTAGGCGGTCAGTCTTAAAACATATAGCCAAAACCGCTTACAACATGATTCATATGTTGCGCCGACCCCGCCTGGGTGGGAAAGGGAAAATGATGATGGATGACCCTGGAACTAACATTTGGAGACCTCTAGCACAATATTACAAGAAAAGTATTTGAGTGAACAACAAATTTCAATTATCGATATTCCATCACGTCAATAACAAATTGTAAATATTCACTTTGCGTCATCTCTGACACGCACAAGATACAATGTCGCAGAATAAATCGATTCAATCGTATGCTTATAATTCTGTCTCAATTAAGACAATTACAATGACAGTCTCGATGTGGACGCCATTTTGCGAGTCTAGATCCAAGCGGTTTCTAACGCGACACGATCCCATACATAAGATCGTAACTATTAACTATTTATAGAGTAAAATAGAAGTTACAGCTCTATCTATCCGCCTATCATTGGCTATCGTATATTAAAATAACTTAATAGAATAGTGCACTTCGGGGCGTTGACGGCGCTCAACCAGTCTTCATCCTAAAGTTAAAACCCTTGTCATTTCACAAAGCGAGGCGAACTACGGGTTAAACTATCTAATTAGTCTAGAAACTTCGACGCTACCTACGATTTTACTACAATATAAAAGCTATTAATACACTACTAGCGAAAACTTTAATGTAACGAAAATTTAACAAAATTGACACGAAACATCGAACACAAACATATAAAATATATACATATGTGAACAGTTAATATATACGCGTAGAAAATATGTTCTTAATAATAAAAAAATATTGCTTTACTTCATAATCATGAGTATTTTCACTCAAAATTGTTAACGGCTTATATCCCACTGTTGGGCAAAGTCAAATAGAGTAATAGTATTGCTAGTATAGCGATATAATACGAAATATGATTATATCCGTTATTTTAGTCAGTTCCGTGCCTACGTCGAATGCGAAATAGTGTCAAATTTTGTTAAACCATCGCACGATTTCCCCTGTCCCCATTCCAGAAAGTTCCATAGCTATATAGGCAGCTGCGGTAGTAACTATCACATTACTTGTCCAACCGAGTATTACGACGTCAGTTAAAATCGAACCTTATATCAAGCGCTCTAGGTACGAGATTTGCGTGGATTACGTTATGCAAAATCGTCCGATGCCGGCAAACGTAACGGAAATTATCTCTAAAATGTTTTACAAATCTCTACTTTTGCCGTTTCTATAATAGTAATCGACGTCTCGTTATGATTTTAATGTAAATCATAAGTGCAACTGAATTCTTGGTGACAGGTGACGAGCTTGTCGCGGCATCAGATGTCGATCCTATGTGGTATTGACGCGTTAAGTATACCTAACCGCTTTAGATAACGAACTGTATTTTAATTAAATGGCGTGCGACAGGCTTGTCACCGACTCTGCGGCCGTTCCAAAAGGGCAATGACGTCATATCAAGTGACACGTTACAAAACATCAACGACACAATATTTGAATACAATATTAAAAAAATACTATTTTTATCGACATCGAAACGCAGAAAACATTGTATAAAACATATAAAGATACATATTTATGTTACAATTCGAAATTACGATTAAGTATGCAGCGTGTCGTTACAACCGCGACAATAAATGAACACACGTCTAACGCTACTTGCCAATAATCACAAAGAAATACAAAATTAAACAAAAATCAATAATTAAAAAAAAATATTTTCAAACAAATTAATTAAATAAAACTGACTGATTCATAAATTCAGAGACTTTTTCATTCGTTGCCACAGCGTCGCATTACAAGCCTCTCCTTCTAACAGTATGTTTTGTCTCTTTCAAATTCATTTTACCCATTCATATGCTTTTTGACCTTTACAAATGAACTTTACGTTACAGTTTTATACGTTAAGGTGTTCTTAAATTGTTTGTTTTGTAAAATTTAATAAATCGATAAATATTGATGTTTCAAGAATGTAAATTTTTTATACAATTTTACAAAGTTATCCTCTCTATGTGTGTTCATTTATTGTCGCGATTGTAAAGACACGTTGTATAATCGAACCCGAGGCCACATTAAAATACATAGCCAATGTGCCATAGGGTTTTACAACGATTTGCGTATTGCCCATTCACCAGACAATTAATATGAAATAACACATACCACGACTCTAGAAGGAGATAGAAGATGAAAGGGGGACGCTAGCGGACTACGGAAGACGGTAGAAAGAATCGAATGCGGGACTTAGAGATTTCAAATTCACTACACTATTGTTCATTGGCCTACGAGAGCATTTAAACAGCACATCCGCCATTTTATGTCCGCCAGTTTGTGTCCTTTATCCTGTCGCAAGGACCAACTTTTCAACGGGTCAGAAGAGTGTAATTCTCAAGGTGCGAATGAAGACGCGTTCCACGGCGGGTGGGTGGTTGCGACGGTGACCACCCTCGGGTCACCGTCAACAGCGCCGAAGGGCGATGGTCACCAGCGAGACTCATATCAGCCCGTGGCGTTTCTTGTACTCGTCCAGGTTGAGCGAGCGCTTCGGGCCGGTCTCCTTCACTTTCGCCGCCAGCTGCCGCGGCTCAGCGCTCATCGACTCTGCGGAAATGGAGCACGCTGTATAAGCTAGTTTTCCTAGGGGGGGGGGGGGGGTCATACAGAATACTTGGGTGTGAGAACTCATCTGAACATTCTGTATCAGCCCGCTTAGGAATGCATATGTATATGTATACAGCAGGTGTGAAAACTGCTTCGGAGAAAATTGTATACGCTGTATACGCTGTATACACTACTTTCCCCCAAAGGACTTACAGAGCGATCAAGGATACCGAGGGTTCTATGGTTGGTTGAAAATAATTTCGAAGATCGGCGTTCGTGACGGTCTCAGCAAAATGGAACACACGCTGTGTACACAATAGCATTTTTAACAGACATAAATTAATATAAGCAAATAAAAACGAAACTGCAATAAAAATGTCTTAGATTCTTTTGTCGCTTCCACAAGAGAGACGAATCTAATGAAGCCACGCATATCTGACGCCACAAAAATACGCCCGATACGAACATTACTTTCCTACGGCGGTCGAGTATATAAGAGCGAAGCAACTCTCCTTCGGTTTTGCTGCAAAATTTTGTATGTTAAACATAATATTTTTAATTATCTAAAGAATAGTGACAGACATAAACTAAATACTAGAAATAAGGACTAGTTTGTCCTTATTTCTAGTCTTATTTCTAGTACTACGCCATTGTTTCGTTTACAAAAAGTAAACAGGTCGTTCATGGGGCAAAGTGTGCGCATGTATAATAAAATCCCACAGTCGATATTAAGTCTGCCACTTGATGAATTTAAACGAAAAGTTAAAAGTAAACTTATGGCTAAAGCCTATTATACTATTGCGGAATATCTTGACGACGCCAATGTGTGGGGTTAGTACTGTTGATACTCACGTAGGCTAAAACAAGACTATTGTACCTGTAACATTATATTGTAAACTGACCCCTTAAAAAAGAGCAACTGTTGAGTTTCTTGCCGATTTCTTCTCAACAGAAACTGCTTTCCGAAGCGGTGGTAACTTACGAACGTGTTAATTTCCTTGTAAAATTTCGACGTTTCATAAGAACGCGCAAGCGTCTATGTGAATAAAGATATTTTATTATTATTATATTATTATTATTATTAAGAGGGAGGAGAGAGAAGGAGAGCGAAGGAGAGAGAAAGAGAGAGACGGCGTACTGGCGACGGGCAGGTCGAGGTCGATGCTGATGTCGAAGTCGTGGAGCGAGTAGAGGCTGTGGGAGTGAGGGGCTCCGTCGCCGGCCGCCTCGGGGGCGCCCTCTCGCCGTCCTCTTTGCTCCTCCGAGGCCTGCTGCTGGTGGGAGAGAGAGAGAGATATCATTACAATCGACAAGGAGTTAACAAACAAAAATGTTACATCGTTAGCGCACAGCGGAATCGGTGAATAGAAATGCAACGCTACATTTCCCCCATGTTCAATTGATCAAGAAACAAATAACCATATTGAAATATTGACACACACACACACACATAAACAATGGCGAAACATATTTCAGAAAGGACATTTCTACAGCAATAAAGCGGATTATTAGAATCGCTCAGTAATCAAAAAATACAGTTAAGTCCATACGTAGATCTCTTCGACTAACAAATACACTTGCACTTATTTAGTAAGTTTTCTTATTCTGGACCAATTCTATCACAGATTAGGACAAGACCTTCCTCTCAATACACCGAATTTCATAGTCTTACGACATACCAACTATCCGAATTTCATAGCACAGTACCGTTACCACTTTTGACTATTTTGATCATAATTCTATTTAAGAGGAGAGTATTCACCATCAGTCTGTCTCGCTCTTGCCTCTCCCTGGCAGCTCTCTCCTCTTCCTCCCTCTGCTTCTGCGCTTCGACGGCAGCCTCCTCGTTTCTCATCAGCTCCTGTTCCAAAGAGAAATTGATGAATCACCGAGTCTCACTCCATCAGTAGTTGTTCATTACCAATAATACTTCGACAACTTTAATATTATTATTTAATATATTTGTATTTCCATCTACTTCTACTTAACGCAAAAAATTCATTGTTTTATTAGTTTTACATTTAACTCTGTATTAAAATAAATAATGCAAAGTGCTATGTAAGCATTAAATCTTAAATATTTCATGACTGCATCATAACTGTCATCTTCTCAATTATTTTTTCTAATCAAACTACAAAATTTGCTTGGATAAGTGGGAAATTTTTCAGAATGAGTACAGTACTTTCAAACAAACCAACAAAAATATGTAAACTATAACCTTTTCATTTTTATATGGATGTGAGAATGTTCTACGCACCTGACTCCTTCCACCTTGGTGAGATTTGAAGTTCATCACGGGTTTGGTGTGCCGCCGCGTGAACGGGTCGTCTTGTTTCTTGCCTTTGTTCGCTTTAACCTGAAAAAAGAAAAAGTAAGTAATAAGACATGCATATCCCTCGGTTGAGTGGCCCAAAAGATGTTGAACATTTCATATATGTATAACACACAATATACACCAAACTTTTTATATATTTGCATCTTTTTTAATAGGCATAGCCAAATATTGATTATAAAACAATAATTAGGGTTCTGTACCATAAAAGGTAAAAAAGGAACCCTTATAAGATCACTCTCTTGTATATCTGTCTGTCCGTGTTTCATCACAGATTTTCTCTTAACCAAAATTGACAATTCTAGGTCAACTGAAAGTACCCTATAGGTTTTTGTTCGACAACCTATAAGGTCTCTGAACTAATTGTCAAAGGACAATAGCTATAATTTTTTTTTAATTTTGATAAACGTTAGCGTTTAAACAACTGCCACAACAAATAAATTCTGTATAGCCACCATATAATGAACAACCACAATGGAGAATTTGCGTTTTTAGAAATTGAACCACAACTTGCCAGCCGTTGCACAAATTGAGCGGTCAGATATAATTTTTGTTAATTGTCAATGTCTGTGCACATTCGCGGCCCCTCACCTCCTCCATGATCGCCTTCTCCGCCGTCTCCACGTTGAGTTTCCGGTTCCTGTTGTTGATGTAGGAGATGCTCTGGATGGAGGACGTCCTGGTCTTGTCCAGCTGGCTCGCCCTGTCCTCCAGCTCCTGGATCTTCGCGTTCAGGTCCATCACCAGCTCGTCGTCGCCTCTACAAAGAGCGACAATACACAATCAGCGATTGGCAACAAACACTTACACAAACGGAGAGTATGTAATTTTTTAATTTTTTCATAGTGCTAATCTCTGCACTCAAGATTAAACATTAGAATATGCGGAAAATGTACGAAAAGATTATCGCCGCTGTGGGAATCGAACCCACGTCTTCGGCATTGACGGCCTGACGCTCTAGCCACTGAGCTAAACGGCTGATAGCCACAGCGACGAAAATCTTAACGTCTTTCATCTACATTGTTTTTTAGCATTTGAAGCAATGCTTGGCGCATATCATTTTCTAAAAATTTTAGAGAGTATGTAATTCAAATGTGAGGTTAATATACAGGTTGATTTTATAGATGACGGACATATTAACAGAGCATATGCAGAATTTGATTCTAAATCTTGATCTGAACGTACTTGACTTTTTTTTTCATAGATTATTTTTAATTTTTTCAAACATATATAATATTTTATTAGAAATTCCTGCCTTGCCGTCTCAATACAAAAACCTATTCACGTGCACCAAAACTGTGCGCTGAACGCATAATTACTAAACCGCTTATCAATAGGGACCACTCTTAACGGGATAAACAAACAATGTTTGAATTGATATTTTTCTCATTACTTCTTGCCAAAATAAAATATTAATATTTTCTTGAATTATGGAATGCCCAATTAACATTAAAGTACGTACTTTGTCCAAAAAATCACCCTGTATATATGTATGTACTGTCGAAATATTTCCGGCGCTGCCAGAATTAGATCTGCATCGCTTTGGTAACTTCCAAATCAAATTTACCTATTAAACTCACATCTTGAGTGCAGAATACAAAAATTCTGTACACAAATGACGGAGTTCTGAGGTAAAAAATATAAATAAATTACAAACGTATTGAGAACCTTCCTCCTTTGGAAGTTTGTTGAAAATAATTATTCACATAGTATATGTACTGTTTTCCAATTGTTACTCTATAAATTTTTAGTATATCTTCTTATCCTTTAAACGAGCAATTCTTGTATATATATATATTCTGAATCTCGGAAACGGCTCCAGCGATTTTCATGAAATTTAGTATGTGCGTAGATTCGGGGGCGAAAAATCGATCTAGCTAGGTTTCATTTTTAGAAAATGTCCTTTTATCCCTGTTTTCAGGGAATGAAAAATATAATTCGAATATGACGGTAAATTTCGCCGCAAGAGAAAATGTCATAATAGCTCCGTCGGTAATCGGGCGGCCCTAAACAGACGGCCGTGGTTCGCGTCACGATCATTTACACATTTATTTTTTTACTTTTTTTTCGAGTCCAGATCATTGCTTTCTTTATTTTAAATTTTTTGTCGATTTGTTATTTTTTTTTTCCTTTTTTTAAAGTTCTTTCTTTTGTGAAAAACATCAGTTCATATTTTCTTATTATTACGTCGGTAAGATCGAAAAATATTATGCATATTTCATTACTCAGTAATTTGTATCTAAATGTAATTTCCAAAATACACGATTTACCAAAAAAAAAAAAAAACAAACCGAGCAAAGCTCGGTCCTCCGGGTACTATATATATAAAATTTCGTTCCACGATGTATGTTGGAGATAAACTCCGAAACTACTGAATCAATTTTTATCAAATTTTGTAAGCATTTGTAATTTGCTCCAACTTGGGAGATGGGGTAGTTTTTATCTCAATTATTGATCTCGATATTTGTTATTGCAAATTATTTGTTTATTAGATGACAAAGAGCTATCTGTGAGTCCCATAAGATTCTAACAGACAGGCGGTGTAAGATAAATTTATCGGTTGGATTGAGTAAGTATCCGATAGATAGCGCTATGCTAAAAGTAGAAACATATGGACTCGGTAGAATTGGCGCAGACGAAGTTGCGCGGGACAGCTAGTTTAAATATATTTTTTTGTATTCATAATTTTTATATTTTATTTTCATAATGACATACTGTTTTAAATATGTGTGAGTGGCTATATCTATTTGTATTTTATATATTTAACAAGTCGGTGTTAATTTGAACTTAGTAACTCACCGCAACTGGGCCACGTCCCTCTCTTTCATAAGCTGAGTCTTCTTCATAGCGTAATTTGTCGGGTGGGCGCGGAACCTCTCCTTCTCTGCTACGATCTTCTCTATGTCTTCTTCCTATGACATTCACAGATTAGTATTAGCATTCTATCTATAATAAAATACAATCTTTATAAAATTACTAGCGACCTGCCCCGGCTTCGCACATGTGCAATGTATTATACATATAAGCCTTCCTCTTCAATCACTCTATCCAGTAAAAAAAAAACGGATTAAGATCCGTTGGGTAGTTTTAAAGATCTAAGCATAGGGACAGACAGACAGCGGGACTTTGTTTTATACTATGTAGTGATGATAATACTATTGTAAATAGCATGTATGTAATCACTAGAGCTTCTCAACTTATTTACATATTTTTCACTAAAATGTGGGCATATCAAAGGCTATAAAACATTAGTACATTTCGACTGTGACCATGTTACTATATTTGCTATGTTGACTAAACTAAAGATGTTAGGCTATATTTTGACTGTGATCATGTTTGGTACGTACTAAGCTGAAATGTCAGGGTAGACCGTGAAAACGTTCGGTATGTTGACTAACCGGATGATGTCTGGGTACATTTTCTCTATTACTATGTTTGGTGTGTTGATTAAACTACTAATCAATTATAAACTATGTTAGGCCATATTTTGACTGTGACCATGTTCGGTATGTTGAACAAACTCACTTTGAATTCGTACATCAGTGCCTCCTTCACCTCGCTGATCTTGCTGCGGACGAAGTCCATCGTGGGCGGTTTCTTGTTCGCGTCTTTTATGGCCTTGTACCATTTCTGGAACTCCGTATCGGTGAATTCCTGCCGAATGAGGAGAAACGTATAAACACTCCCGCTTATCCCCCAGTGGGGTTAGGCAGAGATTGCCGATTCGCTCTCTCGATATCACAGACCTAACGGTGTACGCACGTGTGTAAGCACTTGGACAGAATGAGACTGACAGAGTCTATTCTGTAGTTTCTTCAGTGATGACGAGGGGCTACCGACTCAGGTAATTTGTGAATGGAAGGGGTTGGTTAGTAAGTCTCAACGACCACTGCTTACTTGGAGATCAAACTAGTCTTCCCTAAGAAAACATTAACCCTTACTGTAGGATAACATTATCCTGTTGCAAGGATGTTTTACATACATAAATATCACGCGAAACAACTATCTGTGGGTCACACAAATCGTTGTCTCGTTTGGGAATCGAGCCTACGCCCTGATCAATTTTGAGGGGGATTATAGGGATCTGGGACCATATTGTCAACCGAGGAAGCCCAGACTCCCACTAGGGTAGCTTGTTTGGGGTAGACCAGCGTCAAAGGGAAGACTTCAATAGATCTTCAAAGTCGCAGTGGTTGTTGGGACTTACGTTATCTCTTTCAAACAAATCATAATCATCATCTACCGGCTTCTGACAGGGTTCAAGTTGAAGTTGAGCATACCGCACAGGTAATCATCATGTACCGTCTCCGGAGAGGTTTCAAGGTGAGCATACCATAGGTAATCATCATCATCTACCGTCCAATGACTCCGTGGTGCAGTTGCCAAGGTCTTGGCTTCGGCGTCGTGGGTCATGGGTTCGATTCCCACACGGGACAACTATTTGTGTGACCCACAGATAGTTGTTTCGCATCTGGGTGTTTGTCCACGTGAAATTTGTTTTCGTAAAACTTCTTTACAACGCAGGATAATGTTATCCTAAAGTAAGGGCAATGTCTTTTAAGTAAAAAAAAAACCGTCCCGGAGAGGTTCGAAGGTGAGCATACCGCTCGGGTAGCAATCATCATCTCCCATCTCCAGAGAGGGTTGAAGTCGAGGGCATGCACCGGACCTGGTTGCTGACGAACTCCAGGCGGAAGACCCGATCCTGGGTGCCGTGGCGCAGCTTCAGCCCCTTGTTGGTGCGCGTGCCGCCCAAGTTGTACACCTTCGCGGTCTCGTACACGTCCATTATCTCGGCCACCTGGAACATAAGGCAATGAATTGGTAATCTTTGCGATGCTGAATTGTTGGAAGCAGTCTATATCATCGGGAAGGACCAAAGACTGAAGTCTATCATCTCGGCTAACTGAATCACGAAGTACCATGAACTGATAATCTTCGATTCGACCCTGAAGTGTATAATGTTGCTCTGACACTGAAGTGAAGACAGCTGACATCACTGGGATAGGAATAGATATAAACAATAGCACCGTGACCTGATCCTCTTTTTGATCCTGATTGTTGGAAGAAGTCGATATCTTTGGGAAAGACTGAAGACTGAAATCCGTTATCTCAGCCACATGAAACACGAAACCACACCCTGATAAATCTTTGTTCCGATCCTGAAGTGTACCAAACAGCGAATATCATCGGACTAAAAGAAAAATGAGGCTTTGCAGAAAATATAAATAATTAAGTTAAATTTTTGGCATACAATATTGAACTAAATAGACATTTTATTAAATAAATATTACACTGAAGGAATATTCGATAACTGAATAAGACAAAATATACTCGACGGAATGTGTTTTCACTAACGCAATATTTTTCTCTAGTCATAAATATCCAAATGTGAATTGATGCAATTTGATTTCAATTCTTTTATAGTTTAACAGTTTCTATTATTTAACCTATTAGACGCAACATATTCAACAATTATGTGTATTTTACCTTTACATGTTTACAGTGTATTTAATCAAACAGTATTTCCTAAACTCCTTGAACTTAACAATTAGTATTTCCCCAGTTCCTTGTAATTAGTAGACAATAAAGGGTGTGTCTATACAATGGAGATTTCCCTGTTCAGATAATAAAAAAAGTAATAAATAAAAGAGTCACCCTGTAGACGGGGTTGCCATTGTTGTTCCCGATACCGATTCTCACGAAGCAGCCGGTTACGACGCGCGCGAAGAACGGCAAGTGCACCAGCCTCTCCAATTTGAACCTCAAAGTCGAAAATTAATATTTAATTAGCTTGAACGTATATCGATGGAGTTGTTAAATGACGACCCGATTGGCGTGGGGAGTAGTGACCCTGCCTCCTGCGCCAGAGGGTGTGGGTTCAATCCCCTCTACTGGAAAAATATTGTGTGTTTCTCCAGTGTCTGGGTGTGTTTATATATGTATAATATGTATTTATTTACAAAAGAAAAGTATGTTTAAGTATATTTATCAGTTTATCTAGTACTCATACTACAAGCTTTGCTTAGTTTGGGACTAGAGAACGTTGTGTAAAAGATGTGTCCGATATTATAAAACTTTCGTGGGAAATTATTAACTTAATAATGAGATGGCTGAACTCACGTGTGTATGCACCATAGCGTTAATAACAAGTTAAGAAGTTGTCAGTACCTGCTTAGCCTAAGTTTGTTGATCTGATCCCTTGTGTCAGCGTATTTGACCTCAACTTCTTCCCGCTTCTTCTCTTCTTCTTCCGCTCCAGAGGAAGAAGAGCTACTAGAGCTGCGTCGACCTAGATGTAAATTGAGGATTTAAATTACTCAAAAATAATTTTCTCAAGTATTTTCTGAACAGAAAAAAAATTTGTAACAAAAAAATTTTTAATGCAAATAATCTATTAAATTTTAATATTAATCAAATAATCGAACCTATTTCACTTTAAAAAAAAAATATAATAATTTGATTTTTCAACACTGTAGCCTAGCAGGATTGTTTTTTTGCATTTTTCAATAGTAAAAAAAGTGATAAAAAAAGCATATTTATGAATGTTATTGTATTTACTTCTTAAAAGTGTAGAAAATAACAAGAATAAGTATTTGGTAACATTTATGGTACATATACAACCTTTCAAGTGAAAGTAAGTTTTCTTATGAATATTAAAAAAAATGCAACTGACCTTGGGATTTGTTGTCCTCGGAATCCGAGCCGGAGTCATCAGAATAGATGTCTGATGCCTTCAGTTTGACGCTCTGCTTGCTGGTGCCTCCGATTATCTCTGCATCGGCGTCCTACAAGATGAGATATCCGGCCATTGAGAGGTCATGAAAATATATTAATCTTATTGAAACATATTTTTCGCTATGGTACAGTCATTGTGCTAAGTGTGCCAAGTGGGCTAGTGGATATTCTCTAGTACTAGAGCCTAACAAAAGACTGGCGTAAAGTAAAAATATTTATACTTTCATGTGCCAATGGACAGTGGTTGCTTATCATAGGTTTAGCTTATAACTCTTACAACAACTTCCATTATACAACTACGTTTACAACAGACTTCAAGCGAGGAGGTTCTCAATTCTCAGTGTTTTTGTTTGTTTATTACCCCAGAACTCCATCATATAAGAACCAAAATACTATCATAAGTCACTGCAGGAAAACCTATATTTGTTCAACATTTTTATTAAATATTTATACTTTAATTTCCTGCCTGTCTTCTGTAATACTGTGACTTCAGATCTACTCAAATAGACTACTACAATAATGTTGCTCTACCGGAGTTTGTCTTCTGTGAGTTGGTGTACATAAGCACACTACCATACTGAGCTTTACCAGACTCCATCTTCTATGAGCTGGTTTGTGAGATTACCACAACGAGGCTGCTCTACCGGAGCGACTAGGGCTAACAGCCCTAGTCGCTCCGGTAGAGCAGCGTCGGTCGGCTGGTCTATTCAAGCAGAATACCACAATGTTGTTGCAATCATCATTTTTAAAAACGATCAAGCCCACTGAAAATAAGTAATAATGGTCTAGGGGGATTTCATTTGTTTTCTCGTCTGGTTGGGTTTATATTTAAAATAAAAACAAAAAAAGATAATAATTATAAATAAATATTAAAATAGACATATATATATATATATATATATGTATTATTAAAATATTCAAATTTAATATTGTGCTCGTTTATTATTGAAATGCATGTTTAGTAATGTGTATCGGTCTGTTATAGTTTAGTTGTTATAATTTGTATTTTGTAATAGCACCAAATCCTTACTAATATTATAAACGCGAAAGTTTGTATGTGTGTATTGATGTTTGTTAATCTTTCACACCAATACTACTGAATGTATTTTAATGAAACTTTACAATAATATAGCTTATACATCAGAATATGACTATAATTTATATATACATATTTTAGGTATATCTGTCTTTCTGTCTGAATGTGACGCCTCCAGCCTATTCTACGCAGACGTAGTTGTGGGCAGCAGCTAGTAAATAAATAAATAAAACCACGTCACCATTGTAACGACTGTACTCACGTCTTCTTCATCTTTGTCCTTCTCCTCCTCCATCCTCTTCCTCTGCTTGTGCTCCGTCCTGGTCGCCTTAGCGTCCCTCTGCGCTCTGAGGGCAGCCATTGCGTTCTGCCGTCTGTCGTCTACGTTCCTCTTCCTCTCGGTCTTAGCTCCGAAGAGAGGCGATGCGGACCTCTCCGATGCCTCTGCAATATCACATTCGACGGTCCAGAAAATGCATGTAAATTTTCAAGATTCACTCTGTGTCATGGTGTGCGGTTTGTTCATGATTCACTATATATAAAATTGGTTATATATAAAGATTTATGTTCTGAATATTATCTTCTTCTTTGGATGACTCCGTGGCGTAGTCGTCAAGGTATTGGCTTCGGCGTCGGGGGTCGTGGGTTCGATTCTCACACGGGACAACTATTTGTGCGACCCACAGATAGTTGTTTCGCATCTGGGTGTTTGTCCAAGTGAAATTTATGTTTGTAAAAACGACCTTACAACACAGGATAATGTTATCCTAAAGTGAGGGCAATGTTTTTAAGCAAAAAACACAAACAAAACAGTTCCCTCCCTCACCAATAAGAGAACGTAAGAGGAATGTTACCATATATAATTTGTCGCCATTTGCTTCTGGCCTGCGCCAGTTCAACGGATCGTTGTAGATTTTCTTCTGTTGCCTCCACCATGACTATCTACTCTGAATATTATACAGGGTGATTTTTTATACGAAGTACGTACTTTGACATAATGTTAATTGAGCATTACATAATTCAAAAAAAAATATTAATATTTTATTTTGACAAGAAATAACCAGAAAAGTCACAATTCAAACATTGTTTGTTTATCCCGTTAAGAGTGGTCACCCAGTAAGCTGTTTAGTAATTTAATTTTTACTTTTAGTTTTTAGTGTTTAATTTTTAGTTTTAAAGTTTTAGTGCTCGTGAATAGGTAATTGTATTTAGAAGGTACGGCATGAATTTCTTAACGTGTCCATTATATTTGAAAAAATTAATAATAATCTTGAAAAAAAAAAAAAAAAAGCGACATCACAAGTGTTGTACGGATTCAGATTTAGAATCAAATTCTGCATATGCTCTGTTAATATGTCCGTCGTCTATAAAATCACCCGTATAAGTGTATGTTGCCATCGCTGGCCGTGTTGTCAAATTCAAATATCTTTATCCAATATTCACATTACACTCACTTTGATCGTCAAAATACTACTGCCGGTTCAGTAATGGAAAGTCACTGGACTGTGAAAATACTACTAACGGTTTGTAAAGAAAAGCCAAACCTGAATAGGATTGGCGAAAGAAACTCAGTGGGATAATTTTTTGTAACCATTATTTGACTCTTAAATATGTATATATATACAGTCCACTTGAAACAGCCTGCATAGGGCCAACAATTCATTTCCAGAGTATGTTTTCATTTAAATAATCATTAATATTATAATAAAATTTACCCACAAATGGTGTGGTATCCAATCCATCTGACTCAAAATATATGCTAACTGTCTACTACGTCAATTGGGCTTGAAACACTTGCCATTATCTTTTGAATCATCCAATAACTCTCCTGGACTCTGCGGTGGCATCTCCTTTTCGTTTTCCTGCTCTTTCGGTGGCTCCACATCGATTTCTCTATCTATTAATAAGAAAACAATATTAAAACATGTAGAAAAAGTACGAAAAGATCCCCTCGTCTTCGGCATTCGCGGCCTGACGCTCTAGCCACTGAGCTAAACGGCTGATAGCCACAGCGACGAAAATCTTAACGCCTTCTTTCTACATTGTTATTTACATTTAAACCAATGAAAATTTCTACATGTTTTAATGTTCAATCTTAAGTGCAGAGATTAGCACTATAAAAAACTTTAAAATTTAAGAAAACAATATATTTATTAATAATGTAAAGCAATTCACTGAGTACCTTTACCTCGGTTTAATGGTAAAGTGTATCGTGTGAACCGATAAAACAACTTTGAGATCTCTTTACTTAGAGTTCATACTCTCATGGAAACTCAGTGAATCATCTCTGGGGTCTCTTTATTTATTATGAACCAAGAATCGGTGAATCACTTCTGTGGACCATTTACTTATAATGAACTCTCATTGAGAACCGATAAATCACCTCTGGGGTACCTTTGCTTATTATGAATTCTCATCGAGAATGACTTCAATGACTTCTGAGAAGCGACGTAATCACCTCTGGGGTCCCTCTTTTCGTGGGGCTCGACGGGCTCGTTGCGTTGGTCGTCGGGGCGGTGGGGCGAGCGCTGGCCCGCGGCGGGGCTGGGCCCGCGGCGCGGCGCCTCGCGGCGGCGCTTCGCCCTCCGGCGGCGCCGCGCCTCGCGCCGCCTCGCCACCTCACCGGGCGAAGCGCCGCGCTCCGCCGCCGACCGCTTCGCCAGGCGCAGCTTCCTCTCGATCTCCCACCTAGCGGTTTGATAAAGTCATTACAAATCCTTTCCTTACTAATATTATAAACGGGAAAGTTTGTTTGTATGTTTTTTTTTTTAATGTAAATAGTTGCCAAGCGAGCGAGGTTCGCCCCAAATGTGCGGGAAGTCGATGGATGCAGGTGGCTCAGGATCGTACTTCGTGGCAGTCTATGGGGGAGGCCTATGTTCAGCAGTGGACTCAAACAGGCTGAAATGATGATGATGATGAGCGAGGTTCTCCTGATGTTAAGTGAATACCGCCGCCCATGGACGTCTGCTATAACCGAGGGTTCCAGATGCGTTGGCAACCTTTTAAAAATTCTGCTCCTGCCACCTTACTCACCAAACGAAACGGGAAAACATTATACTTCCACTAACGATGGTCTTCTGTGAGGTCTTAACAGGACGAGCTTGCCCATTCGTGCAGCAGCCGAGGCTGCGTAGCCCTACTAATGTTAAGTTATAACGTTAAATGTGTATAGTTATATACAGCGAGGAAATGCAGCCAGCGTTCTTGGCACCATGCCTAAGTTTATGAGATAACTATTTCGATTTTCCATGCAATTTTTCCCATCATTTAAACCTTCCCTGGACTGCCACAGATATTTCAGAATCAGAATTAGCCAAATCGGGCCAGCTGTTCTCGAGTTTAGCGAGACTAGCGAACAGCAATTCATCTATACAGAAGAAAAATATATATTAACGCCTAGACAATAGAAAAACACTTTGATTGATACACAACATTTCCAGTAGTTAGGGCCAATCGGGTCTTCGAATGTAAAGTTGGCTTGTGTTCAAAAATGAACCATAATGTTAGAAGTGTCTTTAGTTAAATGGCGTTCGATTCTGATACATGAATAAGATTGCGGTATGGTTTCCCTATGTAGTTCTGTACTATATAAGTTTAGCATGTAGAGTTAATAATAAAAACATGCTCTAATCAAAATACAGTTGTGGTCTCATTTAATAAACCATTGTAATAGTTTACAAATTTCGAGAAGTAGACAATAAGTGTTTAACAACTTATAAATAATCACATTCAGTACTTAGATGAAGTGTGAAGCAACTTACCGTGTCTTCATGAGATCTCTCCTCTCGATCCGTTTGAAAATCTCTTGCTCCCTCTCTTTCTCAGACATTGCTGCCAAGCGAGCTCTGTCCTCTTCGTCTCCCATTAAGTTTTCATCATAACTGGTAAAGGGCAAGGAGAGTAAGTTTTACATAACATAATTAAAATATATCATACATTTTGCATTCATAAAAAGCTTTCACTAGAATTTTTAGGTCAGTTTTAAAATCGTCTTGACAAATTACCCACATAACAAAATATGCTGATTTGTACACATTATTCCGTCATAGGTTTTTTATTATGCCAAAACCCCAAAAGTTAAGTGAAAAGTAATGCGATGCCTATTATAAATTGTGCCTAATTATAATTTTAAGACCTGATTTATCGCGTGCTCAGTGTTGAAGGAAAACCTCGTGAGGAAACCTGCATATTTTCGAAATAATAACAAAAAATATTTCGAAAATATGTGACGTCGGCCAATCCGCAGCGGGGTCGCTTCGTAAATTATGCCCTGATATCCTCTTTACACAGGATATCAGGGAATAATTCACCACTTTTACCCAGCAGTGGGGCATTTATAGGCTGTTACTTTACTTTTTTTTAAACAATAAAAACATGCTTCTAGCAATATAATTAATTATAATCTGAAGGACATCTGAAATCTAACAGACTATTATACAGCGTGTCGTTACCATTCGGGCTCAATTAGTTTGTTTATTGAACGCCCTGTTAAATATACAGCGTGTCGTTACCATCGCGACAATAAATGAACACACGTTTAAAGCTACTTGCCAAAAATCATAAAAAAAATATTAACGTTAAACAAAATCCATAATTAAAAAAATAATTTTTCAAACAAACTAATTAAGTAAAAAAGAAACAAAATTTGTAACATCCTATACAACTCGCGTCACAGCATCGCATTACAAGCCTCTCCTTCTAACAGTATGTTTTGTCTCTTTTAAATTCATTCAACCCATTCATATGCTTTGTGACCTTTACAATGAACTTTACGTTACAGTTCTAAAATTGTTTGTTTTGGAAAATTTAATATCTCTGTAAATATTGATGTTTAAAGAATGTAAATATTTAATACAATTTTAAAAAGTTATCCCCTATATGTGTGTTCATTTGTTGTCGCGATTGTAAAGACACGCTGTATATTCATCTATTTACTAGTTTACGAAGATGCAAATGTCACATGACACTAATTTACGATATTGTTTTAAAAGAGGTGGTAGATTTGTAAGGAAACCAATCTTACCCATCGTCAAACTCCTCTTCGGAGTCAATGGAATCATTGTCTGATGAATGTGATGATACTTCACCTGAAAACAAATGTATTCAGTCTAATCATTGACATCTCAATTATTTGCCGATACGGTGAATGTAAAAATAATTTGTATTAGGCGGTTCACTCGATGTTAAGTGATTATCGTCACCAATGGATATCCACAACACCCGAGGGCATGCAAATGTGTCGACAACCTTTAAAAAAAGTTGGACCCAACGGACGAAACGCAAAAGTTTTATACTTCCACTTTATGCTGGTCTTCTGTGAGGCTGTAGGCTGTAGTATATCCCGGGATAAGCCTAAGTATATAATGTGTACATTATAGTTTTAAATGTCATAGTTTTATGGGATTTCATATATTTGTAAGAGACCCCAGAGAGCATCCTGAGGATACTCATTGCCTCAACAAACGATTTAACGATTTAATAAACGATTTAACAAACGATTTTTTCTGTGGTTGAGCCACGCAACAGTGTTTACTGTTGTACGAATGGGCAGGGCCGTCCGGGTAAGTACCACGACCTCACAGGAGACTGGCGTTAAGAGGATGTGTTATACTTCTGCGTTTCGTCTGGTGAGTGAGGTAGCCGGGGCCCACTTTATTTAAAGGTGGCAACGCATTTGGCAACACTATGGGTGAGAAAGGAAAGTCCATGGGCGGCGGTTATCACTTAACGTCAGGTGACCCGCCAGCTTGTTTGCCAATTTTCACATTAAAAAAAATAGCGTTTATATGTGTTGTCAAATGCAGTATAGGTCCTACTTATTTTGCGACTAGATGAATGCATGGTGAAAAAACCAACCTTCTTCCGGTTCGCTGTAGGAGTCTTTCTTTTTGACGGAGCCAACACTGTCGATGCTGTTCCTTATGTCGCTCTTTCTCGGCTCTGGTTTCTTCTTGACCTCTTCTGTGTAGTCCGAAGAGGACTTCCGCGACGCGCGGGGCGGTTCCTTCTTCTGGGAAGTGTCGCTTCTGGCGTCGCTGTTCGATTCCGACTCCGAAGACGAAGTGGACTTGTCTAGAACGTCCCAAGGGGTAAGTTTACTGAACACACCGTACCAAATTTTCAAGTATTCTCTTATACTAGGAAGTTATACAAAAAGTTCGCGGACTGAAGTGGTTGGCGGGGGTGGTTTAATTAATCCAGGTAGTCGTTAGTAGAAGTACTCATTCAGGGTACCAGGGTACCAAGTTCATAAATACCAAATTTGAACCTAATTGGGTCATTGACATTTGAGTTATCGGTCGTTGACATTTGAGTATCATTCGAGTTATCTTGAGTTGTATAGTCAATCGGGAAGAAATCAGCCAATGTGGAGAAAATTTAATACCGCGCCGCAGTTTAGTAGTTTCGGGGACTCTACCGGTTGTAAAACCGTGGTTTACAAGTGGCAAGGCCTTTTCGAGCAGGGCAGGGACTCTATGGAAGACGATAATCGCTCCGGACGGCCAATTGAGGCCAACACTCCAGAAATCATCAAGAAAGTAGAAAAATTGTATTGGAAGACGCCTGACTGAAGAAGACGCAGCTGGTAACAATGATTGGACTGTCTGAAACAACCATTTTTATCATACATGATCATCTTGGGATGACTACGGTCAGTGCAAAATGGAACTGGTGTCGCTATAATGGGCCAATACTACTCTTCTTTATTAGGTTTAAAGGAGTTTATCAAGTGCTCCTTTTGCACGACAACGCACCCATGCACACCAGTCCAGTTGCGACTGCTTCTATTTATAGATGAGGTTTCGAACAACTGCAACACCCAACTTATAGTCCAGACCTTTGTACCGAACGTTGTTTTAAGTGCTTTCTTATCATGTGCTCAATGGTGAAGGAAAAGAAAACTTTGTGACCAAAAACGCATCATTTCGATGTTATGCAGTCCGCAGTGGGGTCGCAAGGTGGACTATGCCCCAATAGTCTCTGTAGAGGAGGCCTTTACCCGGCAGAAACACACATAGGATACTGCTTAACTTTTTTTAGTTAGCACTTAAGGCAAAAAATAAAATTTATAGAAAAGTGGATTAAAACTTTTTTTCCGCCGCGGTAATCGAAACCGTGTCTTCCGGTATCACCCACTCTTTTTAACCTCTAAACCTGGCCGATTAGCATACCGACATAAATCACAAATTTAATCAACTGGTTTAGAATGTGAAAAAACAAAGTTAACATGACATGTTGAATTATTGAATATTGGTATATTATCATAGCTTAAGTTGTGGCTTTATTATTGAGAATATACTTGTGATTGTTTTCCATTCCTATATATTCTATTAAAAATTTATTGTACATTGATATTCTATCAATCATAGATATTATATCATCAAATTTGTGAGAGAGAGAGAGGGAGCAAGTGTATAGAAAGAACCAGTATAAAGTGCATTCAAAGACATTCCGTCATATCTTTGATTCAAACAAGTTGTGGAAGAGAAATTTACCATTCTTCTTATCATCTTCATCCCAATCGGATTCACTATCTGAAGACTTGTTATTTGGCCTTGACGAAGGTGGCGATTCCCCCGGTTTCTTTTTTTTCTTTGCTAAATTCAGGAATTGCTGGAATGGCAAGTATTTTCTAACTTATTATACAAGTAATTAACTGATTTTTCATCATTTGTAACTGGATGATGCTTACAACACCGAACAAAGTAGATTTAAATGGGCTGCAGTAAAAACAATTATGTAATATTGGGAAAAAGACCATCAATACTTTTGGCAAAACTTTGTATGCAGTCACAGATATAACCTAATCTATGCAATTTGTTTAGAATTAAATCTAAATTATGATAAAACGATATGTAACACCATGGAAGTCAAAAAAATTAAGAAATTTCTAGTTTATACATTAAAACCATTGCTTTAGAATCAATTATTCTATATTTTTAGATAATTGCAAATGTAATAAAAAAGTTCATTTGTCAACATTCAAATAAATAAAACAAATTAGGTGTGAATAAGTAAAATATAGAAAATATTGTCTATGGTCACTACTTTAAATTTTTCCAGTGTTTTGTTGAAAATGAGATAGATACTACCATTATACTTGAGTAAGAAAAGATAACGAAAGTACTAAAACTCTAAGCAATAGAAGTGTTAGGTAACATAACTTTAAAACGTCGAAACATTTTTGGAAGCAAATCCAATGCAATAAATGATACAATGTTTTGTTTTGGTGGCACTCTGCAATGTTAGATTGCAGTATGGTACCGATTTAGATATATTTAAGAGTTACTGACTTTGGAAAGCAGCTTTCTTGGAATTTTGCATGAGTCATACTTAAAGGAGCCATTACAAAATCTAGCTTTGTAGAAAAACATCGTGTTCACGAGAAAATTTTATCCCACCAAAATCTTCGTCAATAAACCTTAGTTTAAAAAGTATCTTTGAGTAATGCGCACTAACCGTAATTATAGACTACTACCATTGATCTTGGCCTGGATACGCAGGCAAAATAAGATAGGAATGTCTACAAAATGCTGTCGAGTAACGCAAACTATAACCTATGGGTTATATCAATCAAATAACTTACAGAGTCCAAATCTGAGCATTCGCTGCTTGAATCCGAATCAATCAACGGCTTATTTTTCCTTTTAGCCATTTTGTTCACTACACCTAAAAAGAACGTTACGATATTTTTCCTTTACGATACGAAGTTGTCCGTCAACTGCTACACACAAAATGTTTTTTTTTTTCACAATCATTGAGAGATCGCTTTCCTTGGAATTTACGACGTTCGGATACTCTAAAAATGTATAATTTTTAAATTATTCCTTTGGAATTTGTTTTTAATCTTTACTTAACAAAAACTCTAAATAATAACAGTAAATATAAATAATATATAATATTAATGAAATGATAATATACTAGATTACGTCTCGCATTTTTAATTTATATATAAACATTTTTAGTCTGCAATAATAATGAATAGTTTATGTCAACATTAAAGACCATAATTCCAATATATACTAGAATTTATATTATTTATAGTCTGTAAAATATTCTAGTCTAGTTCATCAATCTATTCTATTGTTGAATGAAATTTTGTTATCTTTTTACGATAAGTAATTACGAGGAAAAAAGTTAATTAGTATAGTTTTAACATTTTCTTTTTTATATACAGCCAGTTTGTTGTGCAGGGTGGCCAAATTGTGTACAGTTGATAGGAAAGAACAGGAATACTTACGCTGTAACGGGTACCCGTTACTTCGTCAATAAAACCTTATTATGCCTCATGATTTAAAGGAACTGGGTGTAAGGAAAGCTATTATGGTGAGTTTTCCTGAAGTCCACATTTGTACACCTAAATATAGCACTAAAGCTATGGAATTCGAACGCCTGAAGTGCTCTAAATTTTGGCTGGAGGAGAGACGTGGAAGCTTATGGTGTCTTTTAAATCATTAATAATTTATGATGTTTCCCAAGAGACGGTGGCCCAAATTCAAACAGGAAAATATTTCCATTCCATGTTCATACTTGAAAATTTTTAACAATATCTTATGTTTTGGTATCCTATATGAATGTTAAATAGGAACACAATGAATCATTTATAAATGATAGATTTTTATATAATGCAATAAATTTAAGGAAATGTTTAAGGAATTAAAAAAATATATTACTATAAGTATATCTTTTAGTAATGTTTTTTGAAATTCCTACACTATTTTATCATACTATTTTATACTTATAATTTTACACAACAAAAGTGTTAAAATATGTAGAAAAATAATGTTCAATCTTAAGTGCAAAGATAAGCACTATAAACAATTTAAATTACTACAAAAGTGTGCAAAAAAACAAGCATTTAAGGACCTTTAAGGCTAATTATTTGTTTCATCTTTTCAGGCTCCCTTGTCGCCTACTCCTTGTGCAGAGATCAGTGATGATGAGCTGGTATCAATATCAGTGAGAGATCTCAACAGGCAACTCAAGATGAGAGGACTGACGAGAGACCAGATTGTTAGGTAATAAAACCTAGAATTTAGAAGATGGAGATAAATACAATTAATTCTTTAGTCAATCAATTTATTATTACTTTGAAAAGACAGGATTCGGATCAGCTTTGTTTTTATTTTATTTAAAAAAAAATTCATTAACCCTGATGTAGCAGTGGAGCCTTGTTTGAAAAAAAATTTCTTTTTATATAATTATATGTATGTTAGAGATAAGACAATTATTTAAAATTGAAAGTCTTGGTAATATTATTTCGGATCACATCAGAACATATGTGTATTAGAGAATATATGATCATATTAAACATGAGAATATAGTATATACTAATTTATTATATATTATCATGTTTATTTTGATATGAAATTATTTAACTTTGGTTAACTATTTTTCAAAGTTTTTTTTTTTTTTTTTTTTTTTTTTTTTTTTTTACAATCTTTATTGATCTAATATTTACAAGATTAAATCTATCTAAAATTACATATTATCTAATAAACCTAATCCACGCGGCATGGTGCCAAGAACGCTAGCTGCATTTCCTCGCTGAATAGTTATGCTTAACCTTTGCGCGAGAAAAAAGAACCAGCTCTCTTGTCACCAGCCGCGGCGTTAAGCCTAGGACATAAAACTTTTAAAAAAATTTGATGTGCGGGGACCCCACGGACCTAATGTTTCAACAGCAAATGGCACAAATATATAATCTGAACATAAAGACTCATATTTGCGCCATTTACTTACTTCAGCTGCCTCCGATGCCGCCCCGGCCCTGACCGAAGTACCCCTTAGATGAGAGGCAGCCAAAGTGTCTACACAAGTGGCGTGGGCCTTTGCCTCTCTCCCATCTCTTCCATTTGCGTAAAATGCCACAGGGCTCTAATGGAAACAAGAGCCCTACGGATGATGTCGTTCAGGGAACCGTGGCGAGAAAAAACGGCCAGCATTTTTTGACAAGAAAGCCCGTGGAGACCAATTTGTCTACACTGACACCACAAGGGCATTGTGGTTGAAAAAGACGTATTCATCGTCAAGTAATGTGCCCAAGTTACTTGAAACATTTTCACTTTCAAAGATCATCTCTCTGTACATCTTAATTAGTAAAATGTATTCCAGAAACATCAATACTAGACCTAAGACAATATAATCATGATCTACTACGTACATTGAACTTTGTAATTGAAAAGCTGACATCAAATATGATGACAAGAATATTTAGCAACAAAGTATTTTGGGAATTGAGAGACTATTTTTAAAATAATAAAATTTGTAAAATAGTTAAGCTGGACAATTTGAAATTCAAGCTTGAATAATGTTCTTTTGGTTAACTCTTGTGATTGATATTTTTTTTTAGGGTTAATCCTATTATCCTAGTTGTTAACATTCTGTACTCTCCATTTCCAGAATGAAGCAACGACGGCGGACCCTCAAGAACCGCGGCTATGCAGCCTCGTGTCGGATCAAACGAATAGAACAGAAGGATGAACTGGAGACTGAAAAGAGTCAGGTCGGACTCCTAGTTTATTACAAATTAAAATATAAATGAATCAATTGCACTCATATGCACACTTACTATTCATTCAATAAAAAAAAAAAAACGTTTGTGGGATTGAGTTTGTGAAGGTTAACCTTGCCCATACACTAACCATGTTTTTGAGTTGATTTGGGAGACAAGAGATTATTATGAATCAGACAAGTAGACGCTATGTTAATATATATTAAGTATTGTTATATTACAAATTTCAATAAATATTCAACACTCAAATACAATACAAATAACACTTAAATAGAACTCGAATTCATGATTATAATGTTTAATTTAATAGCAATTGTGATCAATCAAGGCTAAAGACATGCAATCAGATATTTTTGCTTTTCCTTTCTTTTTATAAATATAGGCTTTTGTATTTGAAAATCTTAATCTTATTTAAGTTAATGATAACTTATGTTATTTGGTGGTAGCGGATCATTTCATTAGGTAATAAATTTTAAGAATCAGCTTTTTATTTTCAAAGTACGTACATTGCAACTAGATTCTCAAACTGTTTTAATGGACATTGCCATTTAACGTTAACGTTTCATCTTCAACTAAAAACGAACTAAATTTACCTCTTGATAGTTTACATTTCATTCTAAAAGTTTAAAAACCTTGTGTTCTTAATAATTTTTGCAAATAGTAGAAATATAGATTTATAGAGAGATAACAATTATCGTTGAATAATATCACCATAATCATTATCATTTCAGCCTGTTTGAGTCCACTGCTGATCATAGGCCACCCCCACATACTGCCACGAAGCACACTTTCATAGGTGGTTACTCTATCTAGCAAGGGGTTCGTCCTACACTGCAATAACCAATATGTGGCTGCCACTCGAGAACCTTTCTTCGCCAACAGTTATCGGTTTTACGACCCATATAACCGGTCCATCGCCACTTCAGCTAACTAATCCTGTGAGCTATGTCGGTTATCTTTGTTCTACTGCGGATGTCTTGCGTTGCGAACTCTATCACACAGAGAAATACCAAGCATAGCTTGAGAATAGCATAGCTTGCTCAATAGCTCGCTGAATAATATAATTTGTATTAATTACAGGAGTGGCATGATATGGAGGCTATGCAAGAAGAGAATAATAGGATCCGAGAGGAAATAGAAGCATTGAGAAGTAAATATGATGCCTTGAAGAGGTTTGCAACCATGAAGAGTATCCCCCTACCAGCGGAATTGGAGATTTTGCCATAAAGCTGTACATTTAAGTTATTTACTATACCGGTTATTAAGTGGAATGTGTTATTTATATTTTAGCAGATTTTTACCGAGGTCAGTGGAATAATTTAATAATGTTTTAGATATGTAATCCTTTGATATTTTTATATACTGAATTTAAAACTTTATGTCAAACTACTAATAAAAATATTATATGAACAGAATGTAAGTAGGTATGTCATTACCTACTGTTTATAAAAAATCAATTGTATGGTTTGAACCATGTTCTATATTGTAGTTAGTTGAATATTAAATAACATACAAGATGTATTTCCTTATTGGAAATAACTCGAAAATTTTGGTAGTAAGTAAGATGTAACACATGAACTGGGTTTTTTTTTCTGTTACTTAAATAATTTCAGTGATAATTGTACATGATTTTCATAAATTGGAATTGAACATGTTTTTGGTTATTTTTATTTTTTTTCACCTTTTATAGTGAAGTTATAAATTTTTTATAATAAAGATTTTATGGCCTGGTAGAAATTGTACCTCATATGCGGTACTTTATAATATATATTTAGCTGTGAGTGAGATGCCTTTTCAAGGGAAATTTATTTGAGAGTTGAGGTGAAATTTCAAAGGCGAAGCGTTTACGCACATTTCGTTACATGAAAGAGAAGAAAGATGTCACGTACATAGAGAGAGCGACACATACACTAAATAAAAAAATAAAAACTGAGAGAATAACCCTGGCATATGTGTTTACTTTAGAACAAAATAGGAAGACAAGTTAATTTGTATGTGTGAGTTTGCCAAGAATCAGGAACCGCCAACTTTGAATACTTTGGAAGATTTTGCGATATGTTATAGTACATTTTATAAATGACTAGTTTACTGTTTAATATAACTGTACAGTTACAAATGAATCGCAACACATGGAGAAAGTAAATTGTGCGAGTGTTGGGATGTTAACTAACATTACACTAACATATAACACATTCTTGGTGTGATGATAAATGTAGTCAACATTTATCATTGTATTTTGTGATTATTACCGTGTTTTTTTACCGTGCACTGTACACCCTAAGTATTCACGTGTACAGTGCACGGTGCTATTTTTTAACTTCATTACTTTTAATAGAGGTATGACTTCTGAAATCTTCGACATAATGTTGATAAAGAAGTTATTCTCCATAAGGTGATAACTCGGTGAAGCCGTGATAGCTCAGTGTCCGGGCGCTCGCCTTTAATTCAATATACTCGAGCAACCCGAGTTCGATCCCCGGTGCCGGCATCAATGAAATTTTTAATTTCAAGTGCTGACTTATCACGTGCTCCGCGGTGAAGGAAAACATCGTATTTTCGAAATAATAACAAAAAAAAAATATCTTTCGAAGATGTGTGAAGTCCGCCAATCCGCAGTGGGGCCGCGTGGTGGACTATGCCCTGATTCCCTCTGTATAGAGGAGGCCTTTGCCCAGCAGTGGGACATGTATAGGCTGTTACTTTAATTTTTTTATTCTCCTTAAAAGCACAAGTGTTCTCAAAAGACTACAATCGATGAGGAAGTTCAAATTATTTATATCTCCCTTACTAGTCTTGCGTTATAAAAGCTTCGGTGAAAAATTTTAGTTGGTGAGGATTTTTGTGTGCGAAGGTGGCAAGTGAGTTGGCGGTTGATGTTAAGGTACAACCGCCGCCCACGGGCACTTGCAACACCCGTTGCAGTTGCAGGTGTTGCCACCGTTTAATAGAGCTGGATCCGGCTACCTCACTCACCAGACCACACGCAGAAGTATGACACGTCCGCAGCTCCTGCTGTTCTGCGGCTGTTGCACGAATGGGCAGGCTCAAAGTCAAACTCAAAGTAAATTTATTCTATATAGGCTTAACTTATTGAACGTCAACAAAAAATCTACCACCGGTTCACTAAACTAGACCTGTACAGAGAAGAACCGGCAAAAAACTTCGCGGTCTTGTTCTTTTTGTTATTTTTTTTTGATCGTTCGATTGCTCGTCCGGGTAATTACCACAGCGAGGTTACCGGTGTCCACTTTTTAAAGGTTGCCAACGCATCGGCAACCATTCCAATGGCCATCGGCGGCGGTAAACAATATGAGGTGAACTCGAAGCGATGGAGGAATAATAAATGAAATATATATGACCTAGGCCCAAGAAAGTGGATACGCTATTTGCAATGGCTAGGTTTGGCTTCAAACATATGCCGAGTGTCATTTATAATGGAAACGGCATATTGGCTACGCGGAAAAGCTCAAAAAAAAAGAATAAGCAAATTAAACTATTATGATGATATTATGATGACTCCGTGGCGCAGTTGCTAAGGTATCGGCTTCGGGCGTCGGGGGTCTCGTGGGTTCGATTCCCACACGGGACAGCTATTTGTGTGACCCACAGAGAGTTGTTTCGAAACTGGGTGTTTATCCGCGTGAAATTTATGTTTGTAAAACGTCCTTACAACACAGGATAATGTTCCTAAAGTAAGGGCAATGTTTAAAAAAAAAAAACCGTATATCAACTGGTTATATCGTTGGTAAAACGAACGATTGAAACAACTCTGGTGTATTGAGTTTGTTGGTTGCCACTAACTTCAGATTAAGAGAGTATTTCGTTGATTATACTATAGCCTTTTTACTTGAAATCCATTTTGATAGATTAGGATAAGCCTCTGGGCATGAAGGTACTCCGGATAAATGGGTTAAGTACCTATACAATAATAAGTATATAATAATATGTTAAAAAAGTGTAGTGATAAAATAATGTTCTGTTAAACAATGCGTTATTTAGAATAGACTTGTGTCTTTAGAGCAAAACCAATTCAGATAACGTCTTTGGAATAGTTTGGACATGTAAAATCTGCACTTTTTTGTTTATATCTTCCACTTACCGTATACGAAGGGTTTAAGAGTAATAAATTCGGAACTATATTAGACGGTAGGATTATTTGTATTTAGTTTGCTAAACCAAACCCGAAATACAAAGCAGATAAGGAAAATAAAGCAGCCGTACCTAAATACCTACATATTAATATTATATTTGTCTAATACATATACACTGTCTGGTTGTCTTCTAAAATAGGAAAATTTCTATGCGAAGGTTTGAACATTAATAATTGTAACAGAATATTCTGATTCGTAACGCATTAATTAGAAATTGTTGACACATAATTACCGTATTATTAATTGTTTATGACGTAAACTTGTAATAAAAGTTAATACGATTTACGATAATTTGTCTTTCTTTTTCTAGTTTTAGCAGATGCGAATTTAAATGATTTTATTGGAATGTTGCACGTTGCAATCCTTATTAATATCATAAAGGCGAAAGTTTGTATAAATGGATGGATGTTTGTTACTCTTTCACGCAAATACTACTGAATGGATTTTAATGAAACTACAATAATATAGCTTATACATCAGAATAAGACATAGGCTATAATTTAAATACATATATTTATGTATATCTGTCTTTCTGTCTGAATGTTACGCCTTCAGCCTATTCTACGCAGACGTAGTAGCGGTCAGCAGCTAGTACTTCATAAATCCGTAGGATTACATTTATTTTGTATAATGCAACGTCATCATGCATTTCTTGGATATGATGGAGTATAAATTACTTGTGGATTGGTTACAACGTATACGACGATAATAAAAAATAATTCGTTTAATTGATAGTTGCTGTTAGAAAAGAGTGGAGGAACAATGAGGATTTGTAAACCACACGATTTTATTTATTTATTTATTTATTTAAAAATTTATTGTTTACACCTTAGCTTAAGGTTAAACATAATTTTGAACAAAAAAAAAAACAGACTTCAAACAGGAAACTAAAAGCATTGTCAACACCTATAACATTTGAGGATTGCTCTCGATTTCTCTGGGATGCCATAATCAGATCTGCCTTCCATTTCCTTATAAATAATAATTTCCTTGTCATGGTTCCACCCTTGGGATATCTCCTTTCCAACAAAAAAAGAATCATCAAAATCGGTTCATAAATGACGAAGTTATCCCCGAACACAAATAAAAAAAATATATATACGGTCGAATTGAGTAAGCTCCTTCTTTTTTGAAGTCGGTTAAAAAGGCAAACCTAATAAGTATTCTCTTCCAGTCGACCCTGGGAGTAGAGAAAACTTGACGCAGGTTATTGATTTAGGTACTTCAGATATAATCGTGTATGCAAAAGTTGCGGTGTAATAAATTGTCTTGGCATGACTAGTTAATGTGGTTAAAAATAATAGAGCTGTGTCGACATGACGTGTTCAAGTATCGAGGTGTTGAGAGGTTATTAAATTTTAAAAAGTGGTATAATTTCAAGATATGCAATTTATATTGTTATATATATATTATTATATATATAAAAATATAAATTGTATTTATATATATTTATATTTATATATATATTGTTTATCGAATTATTCTTTTTTTTAAATTAAATCTAACGTTTGTGAACGGGCCTGTGAATTAAGTGACGTACGGACGTCCATACGTTAGAGTAAAAATTAAAGTACAAACATTTATGATGCTTCTTAAGACGCATATTCAAGCAGGAATGGAACTTGCTTTCCTTATGACAGTAAACAGTAACGGAAATAGAAAAATATAACTAACTAGCTGACTCGGTAAACGTTGTTTCGCCATATAAATTATTTCTAGAGGAATCGGAACGCATAAAGTGTTTGACAGGTTATACAGAAATAGTTGAAAAAAATGCAATTTTCCCATAATTTCTCATTGTTCAAACCTTCCCTGGACTACCACAAATATTTCAAAACCAAAATTAGCCAAATCGGTCCAATGCCGTCCTCGAGTTTTAACGAGACTAACGAACAGCAATCCATTTTTATATATAAGATCCGGGAGCTCCAGAGAATTTTTATTACGTACAAACAAACGATTTCACCAACTTATAACATTAATATAGATTGATTTAGCTCTAGGGCGCCCCTCGCAATCTCGAGCTAAGGGCATGAGCTAAGGAAAGTTGAAGAAAAAAAATCTTTGATTTAT